ATGCCTACCTGGCTGGACTCATTTGAGTCCCGTTTCTTGTTTTGGGGTTTTGTTGTTCTCCCGCCCTGGCGGGGGGTCGGGCTAGAAGATCTACTAGGTCCCTTCCGACCCTTAATCTATGAATCTATGAATCTATGCCAGAGGTAGTTCAGACTCTTCTATGAATCCTCTGGGGCATGGCCAAACTTTTCACCCATAGGCTAGATTTTCTGCCTCTGGTGGTGCAAACAGCAAGAACTGAATGTACCTTCTGCCCTGTTCATGGCAATTCCAGTTCTACCTCAGTGACTATCTCTATCCCAAACCATATACCACAGCTGTGAACAACAGTAGCACTTGGGCTGTATCATTTTCAATACAAAAAATCAGGGATAGGGAAGAATTTTTTTTATCTCAAATTGCTTATGTCTCTTTCAGAAGTGGAATCTGCAGCCTTCAGAGGAGATCATCCAGACCCAGCAGCATAAATGGAAGCTAGTATTGCTTCTTTAGAAAAGAACACTCTAAATTTTAAGGCAACCCAATGTCTGACCAGAATAGGAAATAATCAGTTAAATGGCCTTTTTTATAGTTATATTCTACTTCTACTTTTTCATCATTTCAGAATTCAAATCTAAAATTAAATCAGTAAATGGAAGATCAGGCTAACCAGTTCAGACTGTTCTCATATGCGATCCTTTCTTAACTCTTGTTCTTTAGCAGCTCTAAAATAGTTCAATCAGCAAATGGAACAGGTATCTTTAGAAAAATATTAATGTATATTTACTGTTTTTCTCCCTTAATAAACTTTCATTTCATAATCAAATGAGCTATAAGTGGTATCATTTTCCAGAAAGTCAGTCAAATGTTATTACTTTGATCCAACATATAGGGGTGACTGAATACAAAGGGCAAAGCAAGAGAGATTTTGCTCAGAATAAACGCTTCTCATTTAAAATTCTGGCACAAAACCATATTCAGACCTTTTTCAATTAGATTAAATTTGGAAAAATTCTCAGACAAGGCTATGAAGGATTCACCTAAAATTGTGAATCAGATACTCTGTTCAGGAATTATAAAACAGTTCCTTTCCAGTTGTTGTTGTTCTTTTGAGCCAAAAAGTGTCTAACTTTGCAGGATGGAAGTAAATAAAGGTTCTCATTCAATATCTGAGTAACTGATAATGTATAGTTGCTGGGTCTGGAGTTCTTGAACTTTAGAAAAAAATATAAAACCTTTTTTTTTTTCCCCCTCTTGACCTAGTTCTACCTAGCATCCACTAGTTATTGTCATTGCAAAAAATGGCTTCTTGTAGATGTTTTGAGTGGTTCCTCTCTTTTCTAGCTTTTGCCAATGCAGCAAATTTATATTAAGAACTATGTTAATTCATAGGTGCTAATTCAAGTATAGTGGCTTCTCATCCAGATCCAGTCTGCCAAGATAAGTAAGGTTCTGTCAGTGTTTAGCTCTTATCTCCAAGGAAGGTGAGATTCAGAACAGATGGCAGTCCATGGCTCATTCTACATAACAGACATTTACTGGGTCAAACCACGGGTCCATCTTGCTCAGCTTTGTGTGTGACAGATGCTGAAAGATAGAGTGGACAGAGTTATGACATGGGTTTTCCCCCTGTTCCTCTTACACTTTCAACCTCCAGCATTTAAAGTATGGGAAGTTCTGATTCAGAGGCTGTATCCATAACTCCCATATTCAGTAGCTACTGATGCACCTTTCCTTCAATAATTTGTCCACTCCCTTTCTGAATATGGTTAAACTGTCCGTTTCCACATCTTGTGACAGTGAGTTACTTGCTTCAAATCCATGCTGTATGAAAAAGAACTTCCTTATGCTGGTTTTAAACTTATTACCTACTAGTTTCATTTTATGATGCCTAATTTTTATATTGTGAAAGATTAGTAATAATAAATTCTTATTCACTTTCTATTCACCATTTAGTATTTTGTAAACCCTTACCATGTTCCCCCCTCAAGTGTCTGTTTTCTTAATTGAATAGTCCCAGCTTCTTTAGTCTCTCCTCATATAGAATCCCTTCCATACCAATAAGCGCGGTATCCTTTTTTGCCCTACCTCTTTATTTTCTGTAGATTTCAAGAATCGCTTATTTTTTCAATCAGTTTAAGATGCCAATATATCCTACAGTTAAGGAAAGTGTTATCTTTTTTCGTATTCAGTATGTGTTGCTTTCAATGTGTAGTGGTTGCCTCAGTATATGGCTGTCTGAGAGAGCTCGTCTCATAATGCAGCATATTCACTGCCCTGAACATAATCTCCCTACACACATCATGATCTTTAGTGTTAATGTTTCCATCTAGTTGTTTGTATGGTTTCCGGTTTGGAAATTTTCTTTGTCAGAGTGGGGCTTGTAATAATTCAGCAGAAGGAAATTAAACTCTTAGGAAGAAGAGAGATCCAGTGGAGCGCAAGTCTCTGTAATGAGTAGGTTCAACTCAGTAGGCCTGTCCCCATGAACGGGAATGTGCAGTTCCCTGGGGACAAATGCTGCTTGTCCCTGGGTAGGCCCCTGCACATGTGTTTTGGCACGCAGCAAATTGCCCTGGGTGGGGTAGGTGAGGCTGGGGCCAGCACCTGGGCTGGCTCCAGCAGCCTTACCTGAGATCCTGGGGGCTTCCCAAGTCTGCAGTGGCAGTGATCTGGGCACACAGAGTCTAGCCGTTAGCTGGAGTGTGGCTCTGGCTGTCCAGGCTCTAGTTTTCAGCAGTGCATGCTGAAGC